GTCGATAGCAGTGCGCATAGCAAGTCCAATCATGTACCACATGCCATGACTGGATGCGGTTCGGAGATGATACACAACGAGAAGAACCATGGCCTCGATATTGTCAACGGATCGTGCTTCACACATTGTGGGAACATGCTGCAAGGCGGCAGTATAAAATCGCTAAAACCTGTAAGCGTCGGCCTATCTAACGTCTAGAGAATATAATTACCTCAGGCGGCGTGTACGCGTATTTCTCACTCAGTCGAAGCATTGTTGCGCCGATTGCATAGACCAGGTTGAGTTTGAAGATAGCGAATCGATCAGGCCGAGTAAGATCCTCGCGCTTGATCTTTGCTAAGCGCCATCGATCTGCATGGATCTGCCATACTTGTTTCCGGTTAATGAATGGATATCGAGAATGAAGTCGGGTGAAATATGTATCGAGTATTCTTGTCCCCATCTCATCGGTTGGAGGTTCAACATTCGCCGGTAAGAGATCTTCCATCCTCGTTGGCCTGTCTGGAATTTGAGTGGCGCTAGGTTGCTCTGAAGGCCCATGTACTTGGCCTGCCTTGTTTTGAGGATTATTGGCAGTGGTATTGGCTTTCTGCTGCATTCTTGAGATGAATTGGTTCCATACACTTGTTTGGACCATCTCTCCCAGGTCGGCAGCGAGAGAAAGGCCAGAACTGGATCCTACGTATGCAGGGGCTTCAGAACTCAGGGCAAGAAGTCCCACAATCTCTCCCACAGGATTATTGTCAAACCCAGAGGTAGTTGTGTGTGGTGTTGTGTGACCACCTGGTGGGGAGAATAGCGAAGACACAGTATTTGTGGCGGTGGCATTTTGGCTTGCTGATCGATCAGATTCAACAAGTTTACGCTCAAGGAACAGTACACGCTCCTCTAGGCCACGTGTATAACTAACACGCACATTATTATTCCCGGTTACTTCATGGATTTGGATGTATTTGGAGCATACTCATTCTGGTGGTCTTGGTCCTCTCGGACACTGGACTTGTCGCATGAGACCCCCGCCTTCATGCAGTTGGAACAAGTCGGATACTCATTATCGCACTAAACTCCCGTCAACGAATATATTTATAACTATCCTACTTACTGGAACTCACCTTCTGCTTCCGTGTCTTGCAGCGAGTGCATGCGGTCCTCCCGCGTTTCCGCGGGTTATGATCTCGCGATGCGGGGGTTGTCTGCCTTGATGGTTCGGGGCTATGCCCAAGCGCATACATATCGGATTTGGTGGGAAGTATGGCCCTTAATTTAAAACATAAAGACGCTGATGAAGTACCATTACAAGATGAGGTTGAAAGAGGTTGAAAGAGATCGGAGATGAGGTTGGACCGGAATGCCAAGACAAGACATCTACTAACACCAACAGCAGAGCTTAGGAAAAGCTGCTAGTCAAGCAATTAGCAATATTGGCATACAATTTTCAATGAGAAGAATCGGTAGTTCGGACAATCATAAGTGCCAGATAGGTCTATATTAAATTAATCTATCGCAAACTGTATAAACTTTTTGGTATCACACGCTGCCAATGCAACAAAAGCAAAAATGCAGATTTAGCCAGGTCAAAAGCAAATTGAACGGCCCATCGCCATCTTCATGTCTATACATGTTTCAGTGTTGCTCCTTCTCCTTGTATCCCTCATAACTAGGTTCCGCACGAGAAGGCGGCATCGATGATTCGGCGAATGTCGACGCAGAATGACGCTTCTCGACCTGGTGGTATGTCTGATGATCGACAGACTCCTCGGGATATTCAGAAGCAGAGGTAGCCGCTTCGGCATCTCTCTCTTCTTGGGCTTTTCGCTTTTCCTCTTCAATCTCTTCCGGCTCTTTTGGTCGCTCCAGACCTCTATCACGCACGAACATACATGCCAGGAAACACACACCGATGATGGGGACCTGCACAATGAATACTGTGTGGGAAGCCTTGCTATAAGAAAGCAGGATTGAGGCCCATTCAGTTGTACTGAGATTCGCTCTTGCAGGAAGCGAGTATGAAGAGTCTGCGAGGTACGCGAACTTGGTTGGTAGATTGGAGCGAAGAGCAGCTTGCAGAACTGCCGCGGAGGTAGCGAGGCCACATGAACCACCAATACAGCGGAAGAAGTTACGGTTTGCAATCACAACTGCTCTTTGGGACTTGGTACAATGCGCTTGCAGAGCCACGAGAGTTGGTTGGAATGTGAATCCGATTCCGGCGCCCATGACTGCCACGATGACTGCAATAACGGCTGGGTGGGTGTGGGGACCGAAGATTAAAATGAGGCCCGACCCCCTGTGAGAATGAGAGTATTAGTATGCGATGAAAGTAGGAGGACTTGGGCATCGATCAACGTACAAGGTCCACAAGCCAAATCCAATCCAAATAATTTCGCCATAGCGCTGTACTCGTGAAATGTATAACCCGGATATGATTGAGAAGCTTGACTGAAACACAACCATAGGACATGTCATGGCCGCAGAAGCAATTGGAGACCAGCCACGGGCGTTCTGGTAGTACAATGGCAGGTAATAAAGGGTTGACTGGTAAACTGCTCCATACAGAAAGCTCTGCAAGAAAATTGCAGAGATCACTTTATTTCTGAAGAAGCTGACTGGTTCATGTCAACTAAATGTTATTCTACCATTATGGGGGATCAGAACATACCTGGTAGCATTGGAAGTGTAGCCACTTTCCATTCAATGAGCAAAAATGCAACGATTGAACAACCTCCAATAACGAGCATACTGATGACCATCGGTGAATCCCATGGGAAGTAGGATCCACCTCCCGAGATAGGAATCAAGAGGAAAATGATACCAATAGACGATGCCAGCAGTCCGAACCAGTCAATGCGGCCAATATTTTCCCGGAGGCTATCTTTGCGTGCATTATTCGGAATGAGGAAGTATCCAACAACTGCAGAGCAAGCAGCCAATGGAGAAATCAACCAGAAGAAACCGCGCCACGTTGAACGCATGGTGAATGCAGCACCCAGAAAGGGCCCAATGACATTACCAAGGCCCAGAGATGCACCCAGAATACCCTGGTACTTGCCTCTCTTTTCCAAGGTCACGATATCAGAGACAATAATCATCGTCAAAGAGGTAACACCACCACCGGCGACACCAGCCAAGCCTCGGAAAACATAAAACATAGCTGGGTTCTGGGACAAGCCACAGAGCAGATCTGCAATACATAGCAAGATCAACGCGGAGATGTACACGATTTTCCGGCCAAAGATATCTGACAATCGGCCGTACAGCACCGTGAACATAGTGTTTGCAATTAACGATGAGGTTCCAGCCCAGGAGATGGTATTCTGAGCACCCAGTTCGCGTGAGATCGTTGGTAGTGTGACACTAATACCATTCTGGTCCACCATGCAAATCAGCAAGGAAATTGCCAGACCCGTGAAAACAACCATGAGTTGAGCAAAGGGGAGAATATTTGTTTGGTCATGAAGGGCCTTTTCGGCCTCTCGTTGTCGATTCATGGCTGCGGATGTGGCGGCGCCAAGCTTGCTCAAAATGTGATTCTTCCTAGATTTTTCGAGATTTTTCGTACAAGGCCATGTGTGTCTTGTGGCGTAAAAGATCTTGCAACACAAAGTATACTAAGTTTGGGAGGAAATGCTTGGCGTGATACTATCCAGAGCACAATTGTATGGAGTGTGGAGGGTCTCGATGTTATTATTTAAAGGAACAGTTATTATCCCACGGCAAAATTGTTCCTATAAGAGTCATTCAATTGATAAGAAAAGTTTTTCCCTGACAGGGTTTTAGTGCATTTACATCCATCGGCAACTGAGCGCTGGATGTCGATTGGAGCTTGAACGCCGCTGGCGGGTGTCACATCGGATTTAGGTCCGATGCAGGTAGAAACTCGTGTGCCTGGTTTACATTATAGCCCAATATCGCACCGATGGATGGCGATCCAGACACCTTCGGCTCAATTCCGTGTTATCATTTCAGTGCGGTTGGCAAAGACCCAGAGTCTGTTGTGGATCCGCAGTGTCGGATAGCCGATCGGACGTCCGATGGCTGATGTAATTGGCGGTCCGGGATGCCGAATCAGGCAACTTTGGCCTTTAACTCCGGATACTCGTCCGAAGTATTATGTCTCCACTGTTGTTTTGCAGCTTGATCACTCGTTGTGCGGTCGATTTAGCCAATTGGGCTGCTACTATTTGAAGCCATATCTCCTAGACATAGACACATGCAATTTTCAGTGCCATCACACCGCCTATGCTAAACAGGTTGCGACTCAATAACGAAGGGCACTTGATATGGCTTCCATAGCCCCATTGGCTCTCACTTCCTCTATTATCATGGCCACAAATTTCTTTAGGAGGTTCAGTTCTACCAAGATCAACTTACCTAGTCGTTTTTACCAACAGATGAAAGCAGGATTGCGCGAGATCATCCAGCTCCGCATGAGGGAAGAAACGTGTTTTGAGGAACAACGTACTTGATCAAATGCAAGGGTATAACAATATGCGCTAAGGGTGAGGCGATAGTCTCAGAGCTAATTAGATAGGAATGGGAATTCGCAATCCCATCAACAAAAGTGGTATCAAAACAGCATTAACCAGCGTAGCTCGTGGACTTCGTAACAATATTAGCCCTAATGATATCCAGTTCCTGGTCATCTCGGATATTACCTCCCCTACACAAGATGAACCTATGTAGGGTTCTCACGGTCAAAATCAAAACAGGGATCCCAGAAAAGACTTGGCGAACTAGCTCTCTTCAGGTCTGAGTTAGACGTCGCCATAATCTGGATTAGGCGTCCAAAATTATAAACTTGGCAGCTCATAAAGCGCGGAGAAAGTCAGAATCCGGGACGGTCAAGGCAACGAATACCATACATTGTCGTGCATATTAAGCCACAAAGTCAGCTAGTGCTCGTGTTGGCCGGGGTTGCAGTGTGCAAGCACAAATTAGCACAGCCGCATATGCCAATATCAGTAACATGGTGGCCGACATCATCCTCTTTGCATGATATGTTAGGTATGAGCCGGTCCGATTTGTACTCCTAGGCCACCACCAGGCCATGCGTTTTGGATAGTAGATGTGTTGGGGGCATTGATATCGTAAGCGGGGTTTTCACCGACTGCATTGCTACTGCTACCAACACCATTCTGAGGAGTAGGCCCGGTGTGTCTTGGAACATTACCAGGATTCGGTACAGCATGGTGGGTCATATAGCTGGCACCGGTGACATTGCCCTGATTTGGGAAAAAGCTCTGATTCAGTGACCCGCAGGTTGTGCAGGTGAATTCAATCTTAAAATTGGTAAGAACCATCTGGGGGACCGCATCGTGATCACTGCGCTCGGGGTAGTCCTTCGGAGGCCCAACCACTCCTACTGGTAAAGCAGCGGTCTGGTATTCGACTCCTGATTGTGATATATTCATTGGGAGTGGGTTGTGGCTGAAAGAGGGTTGGTTTGGTGTGGGAACCGGTACGTGTTGCGCCTGGGGCGGAGGTGGCAGGGCTTGGGAACTAGATGGTGGATGGTTGTTCGAGGTCTCGTTTGGGGACATGTTCTCATCATCCATCAGTGATGATGGGAGATGTTCTGGAAGCCACCGATTCTCGGATATCTCCCCGTATGCATGTGCCCCTTCTCCTTGTGACTCAGGGGATTCCTCAGGCGACTGCTGTTCATCTGCACTCACGTCGATATCTGGCCCATGTTCATCCTGGCCCTCAGCATGACGCGGTTGAAGTTTGGTGAGCGCTCGCTGTGCCTGACGCATAGAGATGTCATACCCATGGTAGCGTTTCACGGCATCCACGACATCCTGGGCTCGTATTTTCGACTTCATATCGAAAAGCTTCGGTATCTCGCTCAGCAGAAATCGCACATGGGAAGCTTCAGAGCGAGCGGGTGTAGCTGCAGGGGAATTTGCACTCCGGCGGCAACTATGGCTGTCTTGAAGACTAGTGATGTAAGTCGCATTTTTGTTTGAGCGACAGACCACACGAAAAAAGCAATTTGCCGATGATCGACATCCGATAACCACGCTCTTCTTGTTGCTACGAGCCACACGAAGCTCCCAGTGTTGTCTGACAGATATACTCCGTACCACTGTTTTGAACTCTTCCAGGGAGCAAAACCGCTGACCCACATGGAGGCCGGAGTACATCTCCGTCATAGTGATGGGACTGAGGCAAGTACAGAGAACACAAAGCACTTAGTAGCTAGGACAGCAGTCACAGAGCCTTGGGCGACAAAGTCCATCGGGCCTCAGATTGTGGCTTCACCAGGCCGTGCTTGCAAACGGTTTTGGATTGCGGAGTACAGCGTGATCGTTAGGCAGGCACGCGAGCGATGCTGTGTAGTTTTGAGTTGGTCTCTAGCCAAAAGGCTTCAGAGTCTATGCTTAATTGCGTAAACGAAAGTCGATTACTCTCGTTCGGCAGCACAGCTGATTGTTGAAGACTGGCCATTGAGCCCTGGAGGTCACATAAGGTTAAAGCGGAGTTCAAAGTGCCAGACCGCTCGGTTTCACTTTTCATATCCTCCCCACTTCGATCACCTTAAAGTCGCGACCACTTTCAATTCACCCCTGTGGTATTAGACTTTGGGATTAAATTCCACAATCAGCTACACACAATGGCTTCTTATGGGCTGCTAGGCCAGCCAGAAGAAGGTCGAGTCCACTCCAGCTCTATCCTCCCTGGTCAATGTTAACACCCCAGCTCTTACAGATGCGCTCCACAAGTCGCGTCTTCTCAACGTCGAAGAAAAGCCATTCAAGCGAATTTCGAAACGACTATTGAACCCCGAGTCCCTCATTGTCTCACAATCCTCGCTCCCTCTCACCCCTCCCCCGAAGAAACCGACGCCGACTCCGATGCGACCGCAACAGAAGCCGAAAAACAGAAAAGGCTCGAAGAATGGCGCCACTTCCGCGAGGATGTCTCACTCGACTTTGCCGCATTCGAGGGCAGCATTGCGCGCGTCCAATTTCTCCTTACCAGCAACGAGCAAGAACGCCAACGATATGCCACCGAGCGCGTTCAGATTCTGTCGACAATGCAGTCTGTACGGGAAAGCACGGCCGATCTACGCAGTCAACTTGAAGAGGCGCAGCGACTTCTCTCATTGCGAAAGACCTATGATGAATTGACAGACAAAATTACGAGCAACCGTCTACTCAAACCGCGCGAAGACCAGTCAGCGAACCTTCAAAAATTGCGACTAGAGATTGCAGATCTCGAGAAGGAAAGCAAGGATTATGCCATGACATGGGCTGAACGACGCGAGCAATTCGGTCGTATTGTGGATGAGGGGATGCAGCTTCGTCGTCTGATCCGTGATGAGAAAGAGGAAGTCGAGCGCCGGGAAGGCATGCAGGAGGGCGAAGACGGCGACGAGGGGGATGCCACCTCTAAGGGCAAGGCTAGCAGTGGGAACACTCCTGGCCCTGAAAACGATGCCGCGACTCCCTCCCAGCACGGCCAAGATGAGGCCGGTCGCCCATCTGCTCTGCAAATTGACAGGGCCGGGGCTACCGGTGCTGCGTCACCATTGCGGCAGGTCACAACTGCCCAGAGCGATGGGGCACAGGAGGACACCAATATGCTTGATGAAGGCGAAGTCTCTGGGGCTAGTGATGGCGAATTATCCGAGCTCGAGGAAGGAGAGGAACTCCCTGATGACTTCAGCGGGAAGATGGATACTACCTAAAGATGCATTTCGGCGTGTACATTACTAGCACTAGCAAGGAGTTCTGGTCTATGGTCTGGCGTTGGGCATGGCTTCAATTTATTGAATGATATTATGAAATCTTCCACCTTGTGGGTATTTTTTTAAAAAACTTGGATGTAATAAACATCTCTCTCACGAAATCTCGCGCTGTGCGATCTTAGCTTGGGCAATGGCTTCTTTGGCAGCGGTAATGTGCTCGACATTGCTCTCCAAGCCTTTCTTGCCCTCCTCGATCTATCGGAATTAGTCAATGGAATCCAACGATACAGATGGGAAGTAGAAAAGGGATGTTACACTCACAATCAGAGCTTCCAGGTTCGCAACGGTCTGCACAATCTTCTCCTTCAATGTAGGCAGGACCTTCTTGGTCTCTTCAAGTGACATGTGCTATCATTCATGTCAGCATTAGAGGTTTCAAAAGATAAGCAAGATAATTTAGTAGAAGCAAAGCTTCCGTATAAGGCGCATACCTCTTGCTTCAGGGTATACTCGCGGTTCTCGTCGTCACCAGCGGTATCAGCCTCCAGCTTCTTGATACGCTCAGTCTGCTGCTGAAGTTCCTTGTGATAGGAAGCTTCCTCCTTGACCAGACGGGTCACGGAGGAAGTGGTGATCTCTAGCTGCGAGCGGGGTGCCATTGTGGTTATCTGTGTGAGAGTTAGATGCGTGTGAAGTTTTCACTCCGGGTCTTGAACAGAATTGCTAGAAGAGGTGCCATAGGATGGGGGAAAATGAGTTGTAATTAACGCTATTGGATGTCTATATCCAGCACTCAGGATGCCCGAACGATAGTTAAACGACTAGCATTGCTGGCACAATTATTCAAGACACTGTGTATATAGGCGGGCATCACGACAGAAGATTTAAGACCGAAAAGTACATACCTCTCAATTTTATATCTGGCAATAGAATTTAGTGATATGCTGAGCTGATTTTCGATTTCTCAAAAGTTCATTGGTATGCCCCTCGATGATGCTATCAAGACGATGTTTGCACTGTTTGCTTAGTGGGGCGTCACGTGTTTCTAACTATAAGCTTCGAGGGCGACAGAGGATGGATTCAAGACACTACAAGATGAATGCAAGAAGTCGTTAGGATATGAAAGGCTGGTTAAAAAGGCAAAAGAGTTTATAGTCATTATCCAGTGAGCTTCCGATCCTTTTTTGGAACAGTCGTATGCATGGATAAATGAAGAGCTCCTCTGGTTGACATCTCAGAGCAGCTGGCATTACTTCTAAGATTGCTACACATATGTCAATTACACAATCCTATGCATAACACTATCAATTTCTAGATTCAGAAGAGATAATGTTAACTTTCAGTCAAGCCCCCGGTCATTGTGGTAGATTTCCCGCAATAATAAAACGAACTTTGAGATCCTCGAGTATGTCGATAACAAAGGTCACCAGTCCTCACTTGGGCAGATATATAATATACAAATATCAGACCAGTAGCAGACTCTATGACTGTAGCTATGAAACATTAGAACAAAGAGACATCAAATAAAGCATCGAATTCATGGAGCGCCTTGGACAGCCAATCAGCGTCGGCCTCGTGATCATCCACTTATTTAAAGCCGAGCCTCCTACCGTCTACAACCACCAGAATAGCATCGCATCTGATCTTTTGATCTGTGCTTTGTTCTTTCGAAAGCGAATTGCGCCTTATCTGCTTTGTTATCTCTTGTTTAGTTGCTTTCATCCTATGTCGCACATCTCATGGTACTCAATCCGGCTTGAACCATTGCCGTCATAAGCAAGATGCCGGCCCCATCACTACTTCACCTGGCCACAGCCACGGCTATCCGCTTCGTCAAAGGTACAGATGATATGAACTCTCTCATTTTGGATAATCCCATATTAACTATGTGTTTTTCAGACCTAGATGACCTGGGTGCCATGCCATACTCACTTGCCCGTCCCATTTTGCTTAATATCCATAACCCTGAAAAGCTGGTACGTCTTTGTAAACCGCACTTCTATCACTTTACTTGCACTTCATTTTCTATTTTGGTTTACTTACTAATACCATTCTTTAAATTTGCAGCACGCCATAGAGCTCGCATCCCCCCACCTCGCTGAAGAAGATGAAGAAATGTGGCTTGAGCTCATTAAACGGGATATTCCTGAGTGGGAGAAGTACCAGCTCCCGGAGCATACCAACAACTGGTACGGAGTATACTGTGATCTCCGCGACCAAGTCCAACGTTCTCTTGACGCCGATGCAGAGAAATTGAAAATGGCAATTGATGGCATCAGTGCCAAGCGTGCACTCCTCACTCCCAAACTCATCCCTGAGACCAAGGGCTTGCGTATGGCTGGATCCCGACCCTCTGTTCGTCAACGCTATACTACATATAATCATAGAACTGGCATGGTGGAAAAGAAGCCCAGCATTTTCCAGCCACAGAAGCGCAACACCGCGCTCACAATGCCCACCAAGTCTCTCAACAACCGTGCGTCACAAGTCAAGCGCGCACCGATCGGCTTGGTTGAAGAACATCGCCGCCCCGCCGAACAGTCAACACCACAGCCAGCATCAAAAGCGCAACCACTTCCCCCACGCATCAGCCGGCGCCCGGGTATGCTCCCACCCTCACTCCAGCAACCCACGCTAGCTAAGAATGAGGCGCGGCTACGCGCACTGACTTCCACTGCCTCCGCCACCCCACCCCGGGGTGCATCTAGCAGCGATGCGCTTGGCGTGAAAAAGTCACCAGCTGTTGCCTCTGACCCCAAGCTGAAGCGCCGGGCGACCTCCCCCCTCACGGTGCGGAGAACCCCTCTTCATCTTCTTCATCGTCCCTCCCCAACCCTCCCACCTCTTCTCTTCCCACCTCCCGCCCGCCTTCCTCCGGGCCTCCTCCTCCCCGCCCGGGCGTCATTCGTCGACGTCCGGCGCCGAGCATTTTCATGCCAGCGAAACGACGACATTTGTCGTGATCTTCGGATCACCAAACCTTGTGTTATTTTCAGGGTCTCCGAAAGGAGGCCCTCTATATACATGCCTATATTGGACATAGGTAACATCTATATTTGCAGTTGGAGCAAGGAGTTTGGGATTGTTCTGATACCCGAGGTGGAATTCACCTCAATTTCTGATTCATTTCGTGTTTCATTTTCGTCAAATCTCAAAAAACAAATATTCTTATCTTCTTCAACTCCATGCAATGTTGATATGGGCTCTGCTTGTCCCATGCTACAGGCTATATCCATTTCTTTACAATGTGAAGGGCTTGGGCACACAACAAACTGGAAGCCGATACCTATATGCTCCAACTTTCTCAAGCTTTAACCATTCCTGAAAGTGCAACCAAGGCTGCTGGTCAGGTCTTCAAGCTTGCCGTGGGCTCAATTTTGTCCAAGGTCGTTGCACATATAGCATTCGAAAGTCAGTCAGCTGGGCTGGGTTAATATGTTACAACTGTCTCTCAGTGCTTCATCCCAAAATGCACTCCGCAGTACTCGCATTGTATCCCAAGGGGGCTGCACGCTTACCTACACTACAGTAAACATCCCGGGAAATAGAGTCGGGAAAGGTATAGCAAACCAAGATAGTCCAAAGCAGCTCATGTCCTCGAGAGAGAAAAAAAGGACCCAAATAAAAATTCAGAGGATCCAATCCAGAACACCCAGTATGCATATTGCCTCTCTATTTAATCTCAAATTCCATTACTCCGCTGTCCCTGCAGCTCGAATCCGCAAAATGGAATGTGGGGTGGATAAGCACTCGTTTTCCTCAACTGATTCACATTGCTGCAGAAATATGGTATCTAAAAATGACAAAAGGCGTTCACATCGACATCGCAGCGCATCCTCCACGCAGAGCAAGCACGAGATGGAGCGTGGCTCCACCCTCGAGGTTATATTCTGATGCTGTCTTATCATCCGCCCTTAAGAATTTGTTAGCCGGGGTTTGCTTTTGATAAGATGCAATGAGAATAACTCAGGGAGTAATATCTTACATCTGCTTGCCGCCGAAGATCAGTCGTTGCTGGACTGGGGGAATTCCCTCCTTCTCCTCAACACGCTCCTTTATCCGAGCGACCTGTAAGAACCGTCCGTATCAGTATAAGTGCATTCAAAGAGCGTGTATATAGCGTGGTTTGTGGATGTGATTTGAGTCGAAGGGTAAAGTGATTCCGTGCGGGGAGGAGCCGGAAACGCGTCGAGGCTGGCGGGTGGATTACCTTGTAGTCAGGCTCGATGTCGAGCTCGATCTCCTTGCCGGTGAGTGTTCGGACCCTGTTAAGACGCGGAATGTCAGCTTGCGGCTCTAGTGTGACCTTTTCCAGTTCTAGGCCATGTGATGATGCAATGGGGACGGGGTCATGCTGGAGCTGGGAAACGTACTTGATCAACATATTGAAGCGACGGTGGCTTTTTCAGTAGTTTGAATAGTGGCAAGGAGCAATGTATGGGTCGGCTGAAGTGTAGTTGGATGTACAGCTCTTGTCAATGAGTTGTTTGGAGAGAAGATGTGAGCTCGGCGGGGTTTTGGTGGGGGCCTGTGGCCTTATTGCCTGACTGCGTCGGAGCCTCACTTTCACTTGCGATGATGTACAAAATGTAGTATGGAGAACAATATAATTAGGACTTTTAAAGTAAGATGAAATGTCTTTGCAATGTGTTTGCTGTCTTAATTCTAGAAGTAAGCCCCGGAACCCCCATTTTTCAGAATGAGTTGTCCTGCAGGGTTTCGGAATATATATTAAACTACTTGTAGTATAGTTGATATTTTTTTTTAGAAAGAATTAAGAAATGAAAAAAGCTATTTTCCCACTAGCGATTGAGCCAATTACTATAATCATGTTTCCGTCTACTAACTATTATTACTTTATAGTTAGAAAGTAGATTGTATAAATCTCTTCTCACTTGCATGCAGTTTTACCCCATCTACCCCGCTGAAACCCTTGACCCAAATTAGAATCACCAGTCAATTGGAGTCCGACCTCAAACAACATGGCCAATGAACCCGTGGGTATAACAGCTGAAAATCAGTTTCAGCAATTGATCACCCGTTCTGACAATAACCCGGTGGGCATGAGTCATTAATTGTGAATGGCCAAACGCTAATAGCCCATCCAGAAACAATTGCAAATCGTCTACGAGGACCATAGAAGCAAGAGAAATGCCATTTTCAGAAATCAAATCTGCCAACCTGGATTCTGCGAATGGAAAGAAGATGGAATCCTGTCCAAAGTCCTCGATGCAGAGAAGGGGTTGACAGACTTCGTTGACCCGAGACATAACCTTGCCTTTTGGGCACGCCCACCACAGCATATCCGTGACTTGGTCTACAAGATCCAGCAAGAGATTGGACCCTTGATTGGACCTGGTACGTAACATGTATGACCCACGGCAAATACAGAGACTGCACTAACCGCGATTCTATACATAGGTCTCTGGCTTGTACCCCCGCATCATCTGCACATGACCACGCTCGAGATCAGGTCATCACTAACAGGACCTGAAATCAATGAAATCACATCTTCTCTTGAGATGACTGGGTCTGTAGCAGAGCTGGCAAACTACACTCTCACCCACCGTGCCCGCCTGGTCAAGCCAGTAATCAGCTACGACACTTCTGCTATAGCTCTGAGCTTTGTTCCTGCGGCTGGCGAGGAAGATCACAGTGTGTATAGTGGAAAAGATGACCAGTTTACGTATCACCATCTGCGGAGTGATCTCTACAACATTGTGACTCAATCTGGCTGTCCAATCGCGGCTAGGTATACCGTTCCTTCCGCACATATTACTATTGCGCGCTTTATTGCGCCTAGTGGTGCCAAAGAAGGAGAGTCAGACTCCCCGAAGGAATTTGAGAAGAAAGCGTCGAGTCTTATTGCCAAGATTGAGGATCTTAATCATGAACTCCGCTCAAATGTGTGGTGGAGATTGGGGGACCCATCTCAAGGGGAATGGGTGATAGGTCATGAAAAGGGGTTGGAATTGATGAAGGGCCGAACATGGTATGGAGTAGGGGATAGTATTTTACTTGGAGAAGGATTTGTATAGCAGAATACAATATGCGTACTGAGAATCGACTCCAAATACTTTTAGAGATCAGTCATGTCAATGGTGCCTCAGGCATGAAGTTTATAAATGACTCAGCAAAGCCTTCTTGGCGACTCCTAAAAAGGTTAGCGCCCACCCGATAGGGCCTAAGCGAGTGAAATCCCACAACCCAACAATCGCACTTGCTCTCCTCTGACAAGCGACAATCCAACGACCACCACCCAGCTATCCGGCCAAGTCAGTCAAAATGGTAAGGATATCACCCTACGAGATATGTCAAAGTGTTCTGCAAGCCCCGGCCATTCGAAAATCCTCGAGTCGTGGAGAGATTGTGTGATGTCCACTGTGCGGCCGACCTCGAAATCGTTAAACCCGCCGACCGTCGCGAATCACCACAATATGAACCATCCAACCATCTGCTTTTCACCGGATTCTCGCAGCATGCAATATGAAAGTCGGCATTGAAGAGGGAATGTGTGGCGAAACCTGCAATAGCAACACCTGGTGACGAAATCGAGGATTCGAGAAGCAGGCCACAATGGATGCACCCCGCGATCCTTTTGGATCGTAGATATGCAGACACAATTTCTGCCCCATGAAAACCACGGCCCGGACAACACGACCGATCTCTTTGCGACCACACTAATTTCGAATCGGACTTCGGGGCACGAACCACATTGACATTGATCTTATTCGCACAATCAGACCAAAAAGACAAAAGCTCATGACATCTCTCCGCACAGGTCAACATTCCCAAAACCCGCCGGACGTACTGCAAGTCCAAGGAGTGCCACAAGCACCAACAGCACAAGGTCACCCAGTACAAGGCTGGCAAGGTTAGTGCCCTCGACACCAGGATGGTAGTCGTGAGCCATTGCTGATTATATTCTCTTTGCAATTTAGGCCTCCCTCTTCGCCCAGGGTAAGCGCCGTTACGACCGGAAGCAGAGTGGTTACGGTGGTCAGACCAAGCCCGTCTTCCACAAGAAGGCCAAGACCACCAAGAAGGTCGTCCTGCGTCTCGAGTGCACTGCTTGCAAGGCCAAGAAGCAGCTCGCCCTGAAGCGCTGCAAGCACTTCGAGTTGGGGTATGTTGCATCTGCACATTGTTCTATTTGGTATCAAGTACTGACGTATCTCTTTTCTTTACAGTGGTGACAAGAAGACCAAGGGTGCTGCCCTCGTTTTCTAGATTGTTCAATTTCCTTGTTCGGCTTCTGGGTTTCCTGCATTGCACAAAGTGCTTCGCTGTTTTTGCGGAGCATATATGACATTGGCAATGGAAAAATGAAATAGGAATTCATCTATTCAAAAACACCATCTATGACTACCGGATTATGAGTTGTCGAATGATTATTCTTGCTTCACAGTAGAGTTGCTAGTAGCTGCCTCATCATTGTAGTGATATACTGCCTCTCATGTCTTGCTGTCCATTGTGCTTTTGGACTTTTACACTCAAATGTTCCCTATGTAGAGTTCTCGTCTGCCTCCTCCTGGCTCTAGGAGGCGACTTAAGATATCACTAGGATATACATATACAAAGTGGGTTGTATGCCCTGGTTATTGCCAAGACTCCCTACACATCCTCTATCTAGATGGGTCCACTATTGCCTGTGGAGTGTTTCGTCTAGGCTATCGTAGTCTCATGCCTCGCTTCATTTACCCCCGAGGCTATCAACTCAATGACAGCCCATCCAAAATATATTTAGAGCCGTCAGCCACCAATGGACTACATCATACTTTGGTTCAACCTTGGCACAGCCATCGGGTTCTCTCCGAGAAGCTGACAAGGACCTCCCTAGCGACATATGATATTTTGGCCCTAGGTACTTTGTACATCCACCATATTCTAGTCCACCTATATTCTCAAAAGAAGCAAGCATATTATCAGAACACAATAGAACCAAGGCGAGAAACACCCCCAAGGTCAAGATGACGAGCGTGGGGGTGAAGTAAATGCCAAGAAGTCCCAAAGTGGTAACCCGGTTTTCAGCAGAATGGGTTTCATCCATTGGCCCGGGTAAAACATGGAAGGGAGTCTTTATACCGGACTTGAAAGGACATGATATGAAGACGCGGATCCTTGCCGAATGACTTACCCTGGAGGACACCGACCCCGCATTCCGGGGGACCATAGGAGAGCCTTGAACCAGCCGTCTTCCTATCTTACAAGGCTAAACGGCTCATAGACATCCCAATGACCGCGTTGATTTCTCGTAGTGGAGACCTCTCGTACCTACACCCTACCCCAGTTCCCCCGCTTCCCCAGGAATTGGTCTGTCGGCCCTCCTCCGACAATGGGCGTCTGTGTCGTCTATCCCTTGTCTCTCTGCTGTGTGACGCATCCTCGGCCCGTCGGACGTTGCCCGGCTTGTTTCTGTGAAAGATCAGCTGATATACTAATATACCAGGGTAGCTCTTGTTTTTTTAGTTCTTGATCTGCGGTTTCTCTTTACTTCTTAATATCCCTATCTGATTCCGCAGAGAATCAAGAATAATTCAAGATGGCTCTATGGTATTCGCTGGGTATTGCTTTCTTTGCTGCTATAGGCACATTCTTGTTTGTAGGTTGATTTCTTCTTAGATCATTTGATCTTGGACCGTGTACTACGCGAAGCTAGCTCTAACGATTGAATAGGGATTTGATACTGGCATTGCCACAACTAGTGAGTTCCAATTATCCGCAAATTCCACATTCGTCATTCAAACTAACGATTGACTAGCAATTGCCCACCAAAGCTGGATTGATTATATGCAAAAGCCATCAAATGGCATCACAGGAGCTGTATGTCCAGCCACCCAACCATTTAACCCCTACCCCGACAAATCAGACCTAGAAACTGACTATTCTAGGTTGTGGCCGTGTATATCGCCGGCGAAGCCGTCGGCGCCCTAACACAAACATTCATCGGCGACCGCCTCGGCCGCATCCGCTTCATGCAAATGATGTGCATAGTGGTGACAATCGGCACTGTCATCCAAACCGCCTCCGTCAACATCGGCATGTTCCTCGCCGGCCGCGTGCTAGCTGGTTTCGCAGTAGGGTAAGCCACATATTACTCCCCACCAAACTTGCATACAAACCGGCCAAAACTAACAACCTTTAAGTGGAATGGTCGCAACGGTCCCAATCTACCTGAGCGAAATCTCGGACCCAAAATACCGCGGTCTGATCGGTGGAATCTCCGGCTGCGGCATCTCATTCGGAACAATGATGTCGAACTGGGTCGGCTATGCTTGCAGCTACGCGCCCTACGGCCCCATTCAATGGCGTCTGCCTTTGGGTATCCAGATCCCATGGGGAATTATCATGTTCATTGGTCTTGCGACTTTCATGCCTAATTCGCCGCGCCAGCTGATTCGTCAAGGAAAAATTGACCTGGCGCGTAGTGAGTTTGCGCGTATTCGGCGTGGGCTTCCGCTCCAGGAGATGGAGGAGGAGTTCGGGCTTATGAAGGCGCAGATTGAGTATGAGATGGAGAGGGAATTGACTTCCTACCGGGAGATCTTTAAATTGTTTAGACATCGGGTGCTTGTGTGAGTTTTTCCTTTTATTTCTTGCTAGATTGCGTGATTGGGAACTGACTGGGATGTTTAGGTCTATTGCTGTGCAGACAATGACAAGCTTGACGGGTGTCAATGTCATTCAGTATTATCAGAGTGAGTTTTGGCGAGTGCCGGAGTTGGAACTGTTGGAATGCTAATGTATCTCTTAGCTATTCTATACAAGGGCCTTGGAATCGGATCCCACTCGATCCTTGCTTTGGCTGCAGTCTACGGTACCATTGCCTTTTTGTCTAACTCGGTCACTACAATGTATATGACCGATCAATGGGGACGTCGGAAGTAAGTAGATCCTCTGAGTTATCATCTGACGTGCCTGCCGCTAACCCCCACAGGATGCTGATTACCGGATTGGCTGGTGTTGTCCTGATCGAAATCTACGCCGCGGTGATGCAGAGGCAGTTCCAGCATACAGACAACCGCGTCGGAAAGGGCTTCGCGATTCTTGGAATCTACCTCTTTGTGGTTTGCTATTGTACGGATTCGGACCAAGGCCGCAAGAAATCATCGCTAACTCTGGGGTTTTTTTAGATGGTATGCTCAACAGTACCACATGGCTGTATGGTGCCGAGGTTCTTCCTGTTGCTCTCCGCAGCAAGGTGATGGGTCTTGCCGCCGCATCTCACTTTATCGTTAATGTTGGCAGTATGTTTACCCTTCATTATTATGAAAGATAGTGCTTCCGTGTCTGCAATTGCTAACTTCTTTACCCAAAATAGTCACCGAGGCTGGACCTAGTGCTTTTGCCAACATTCACGAGAACTACTACTACGTCTTTGTAGCATGCTCTGCATTCTTCTTAGTGATCGCTTACTTTTACTTCCCGTAAGTCGTTGGTTTATTTCCGTTTTATTTGTTTCATCGGAGATGAAGATACAGATATATGAAAAGAGTCGACGAGCTAACCTTGATTAGGGAAACCAAGCAAAAGACTCTTGAAGAAGTGGCTGCTGCATTCGGTGACCGGGTCGTGGATCAGGACGAGGGACCTAAGCGTGCGATTAGTGTGGTTGGCGAGACGCAGCACATTGAATCGACCCATGGAACAACAAATGCCGTTTGAACTTCCTTGGCCGGGGTTTGTGGGGATTAACCTAAGGTGATTATACAAATACAAATTCAACCTCAATCTTAGTTACATAGTAGAAGTGCACATGTATTCAAACTTTTCACCGTGTTGTAGCCTAAGGAAATGCGAGATTGCACATTTCCAACCCCCTTCTTTTGACTGGAGATTAAAATGACATTTTTTATGGAGTAATGTAATTTGCCCCAGAACTACCGAAGCCACAAAGTCAAACAAGCAGTTGTTAAGCTGCATGAGTATTAGGCTGAAGTATTTAAATTAAAGCAGTCATAGAAACTATGGAACGCAGGTTATGTTTTTGCCCCCGTTTCAGCCCTGGGTTCCCCACCAGACGAACATGGAGAACTAGAGCAGTCCAGATCAGACGTATACGAAGTAATTCCCCATTCGACCGATGGTGATTTGTGCGGAAATCACATGTTGCCAATTCTTGGTTGGAGGCGATAGTCCAATATCGACTACTCCATAGTGCCTCAAACATCCCTGCAATATGCAATACTCCTGTATACTCCGTAGCTATCGAACCCCTTCCTGGTCAGCATCTACATATTGCCTTAGAAACTTTATCGCCACGCGTCGGATGATCACTACCGAAGATCATCAGAGCTACCACAACCTGGGGGAATATGTTGAACCACGTGTGATTATTTGGAACGGTCGTCTCTCCCCTGGATTCTCCTGAAATTGGAAGATTATTTGCCACGTACTTTTGCATAACTCTTTGGCCTCGCATTCTTGTTTTCTTTTCAAAAATCTATCGATCTTACTTTGTTTATTCTTTGAAAAAAAAAAATATTTCCGGCAGTTTCCTCGGATTTACCTCGGAGACACTCAGGCAGGTTTAACTAGTTCAACGTTAAAATCACCGGATTCCCGAGAGCCAGGAACACGAGCCCTGAAGGGTCCGAGCCCACAGAGACGATCGTTACACACAATGGGAATATGAGATGCGGAGCCGCACGAAGTCTTTATACTATTCTATTATTCTATTTTTCTAATATTCTAGTATTGCAATATTAAATGATCTATGATCTACCTTGTATTAGGGGGTCATTTGATATCAGCCAATATAACAGAAATTTGTAAAATCTCAAATCTCCGAAGTGAACCGGGGTCTCCGTTCTATAGAAATTAAGAAAAATAAACAATTTCAAGCTCTGACATGGAACTCACATTGACACCGGCTGAAAACTTAATCAGAATTTTCACGTTTATGGAGACCAGGGTTAATTTCCAAGTGTACAATATACAAAACATATCAAAACAGGAGTAGACAGGGGGTGGATTCCCAGGTTTGTTGTCATGGCGCAGGTGGCTGAGGAAAACCACACTAACCAGTCATCGTCCTATTTTGGCTATTTTGGGCAGTTCATTACGGACAAGCTGAAGCAAGGGGCAATGATCGGCAAGCCTGTGTGGCTTAGCCCATCTAGTGGCAAACGGCAACTCGGCTTTTAACATTGACTTATTCCTACAGTCTACGTGTTGGTGTCGCACACTCTCTCCACTTACATCAGTCGCAAAAACCAAAAAAAAAAAATTAAACCAAAAAAAAGCAAAACATACATGTCGTAGTATATTCGCAGTATCTTCGGCCTTAAAGGACGTTGGGTGGTTCCGAAAGGGTGTATGGGGAGGCCCGAGCCACCATGAAACCATGGATTCAAAGTGTATCAAAGCCCTAATAGGATTAAACAATCCCAGTGATCTGTTACGGTCTATACTGTATTCTGGTTAGTAGAATCGGGGATGTTCGTTTCCGCTAAACTTTTGGATCGCCCAGGATCCCCGAGGACCCCATTTCCACCCTTCTAGAAGCTCCTTCGTTTTCATGCATCGGGCTCCCCGTATCAGGAATGTTGTCACCTTCAGGGCTGTCAACCCCCTAGACCCTTTTAATAATTATCTTTTTTATGATTTTATGTTCGGACCATCATCGGCACAGGGGCAAATAAGTATGCCGCTAATATTTTACTCCGATTGACGCAACCCCAATATGCCAGAAATGAGGTTGCCTCCTATTATAAATTCAATCGGCCGGAAGTATAGAAGGCTTTGACAGTCCCCTCCTTATCTTAACTTTGAAAACGTCAAATATCCCCGCTCATCCCAATGTGGGTTCTCAGTTCTATTTTTTCTATAGGCCCATGATCAGACGACAAACCCATCCACACCGACAACAGACATCGAGTACCCCTTTTTGAAACCGGTCATTCAATTTTCCCAAGAAGCATCTCCTCCCCACTCGACAACCTTCTCGATATTTCTCCACCCCTCAAAACGAGGAGGTGAATGCGCTGCTTTTATTCAGTGCAACCTCGACACTTCATCCCATCTATGGCCTCATCCCGTTCAACAGGCAAGCGCCTCCCCATCAGCTGTCAGGCCTGCCGAACACGAAAGATCAGATGCTCGCGCGACGGCCGGCCATGTCAAACCTGCGTGCGCCGCGGTCTAGGTGCCGAAGACTGCATCTATCTCGGCCAACCGCGGTTGTCAGCTGAGCAATCTTCACCCGGCGACAGCGTGGTGCAAAACGAACTGCTAGCGCGAATTCGGAACCTGGAAGGCTTGCTCCAGAAGCAAATGAGCTCGCATGCTGGCACTCCCACTGGTGGCGCGGTCTCGCCACTAGGTGGGACGAGTGCAGCTGGTAGTTTCTCCGAACCTGAGACATGGGACTCCCTCGGCCCCATGTTGGATAATGTTGGCACGCTTCGTACTTCTCCTTCGGGCCATGTGCGCTATGTGCCATTGGCCTCGCAGTGGGAGTCGTTAGTGGCGAAGAGCCCCGCTGCGGAGTGTTTGCCGAATTTAGATTCGGATATCGCGGATGATGATGATGATTTGCAAATCCCCTTGGCTCGGAATGGGAGTATCTCGCGGGCTGAGCTGTTGTCGATTCTACCGCCGGGCCGGTATTGTGATACTCTCAAGGATGTCTATTTTCAGGTCTTTTCCTCGGTATGTTATATGGAAAGAAAAGGGGAAGGGAACGTTAGCTGACAATAGGTTAGGTTTTTCATATTCTTCACGATCTGACGTTCGAAGCCGAGTATCAGCATTTCTGTCATGATCCCGGAAGTGTGTCTACCTCCTGGCTAGCTTTGCTATTCGCCATTTTAGCAATCGCTGTAAGCGCTCTCGATGATGATCATCCTTTATTGTCTGATCTGGGCCGGGAGCGAACGGTCAGTCGAAATATCAAAGTGCTGTCAGCACGGTATCGATCTGCCGCGTTACGGTGCCTCGCTGCCGATGGGGTGATGTCCCGACATTCGATCAACTCATTACAAGCTTTAGTTCTGATAAATTATGCCCGAGTTCACCGTGGTCTGCCGATCTGGACATTGCTAGGATTTACACATCATGTTGCAATATCAATGGGTTGCCATTTAGACCCGGAGCGGTTTACTCTGGGGCCAATTGAGCGAGAAGAGCGACGACGAGTCTGGGCCGGGCTAATGATGCTATATACCATCCAAAACACAGCATTTGGGAGTCTCGACCAGCATAGTCTAACGCAGGACGTGAAAATGCCTGCGGACATTGACGACGTTGACCTGCTCACCAGCCCTAGCTTGAAAAGGCCAGCACCCTCAACATTCCCCCGCCCAACGCAGATGACCTACCTTCTTTTGAATTTCCGACTTTACAAAATCTCCTCGAAGATTTGTGAGACAATATTCAGCTACCCAAGTACATCCCGATTCACTACCTCACACCTGGAAGCGGAAATCATATCTGTCCGTGAAATGGTCGAGGCTCGCTATGCTCTCGATACAAATAATCCTCTACCCATTCAACACCAAGCCAACCACCACATCCTCTACAGCCAGATCCATCAGCTTCTTCTCCTTCTTCTCCGCCCTAGTCTCTGCCGCTACCTACAAGGCGAGATTACACCTGAAACTTGCTCTACAAGGGCAAAGTGCATCGCGTCCGCCAAGGCTTCACTTTCCATCTTTGAAACGCTCCTCGAGACACCATCTTTCAAACCCTACAAATGGTACACCAGCGGACTAGGCAGTTTCCACGCATTCCACGCTGCGGTCACACTAGCCGTCATCCTGCTCATTCCCGAGGGCCAGTCCGAGTACGAAGAGATCAAAGACATCCTCGATCGAGCACTAGACATGTTCGCCTCGCTCTCAGTCCGCAGTGTCTTCTGCAGCAAGGCCGTCCCCATAATTCGACAGATGATGTATGTTCCAGTTGCACCCCGCTTTTACCTAGTCCCCCCCGTCTCCAGAACAGTGACTAATATACAAACCAGCGACGTCGCCTCGACAAAGTACAACCCTCAATCACCCACTCACTCTCAATCCCACCTCCAAGCCCAGGCCCAAGTCCATGCTCAAGTGCAAGCCCAGGTTCAACACCAACAGAACCAACAAAACCAAGCCAATATCCAATCCCAGTCTCACAATCACCTCCTACCAAGCATTCAGATCCCACTCTCAATGCCAAACCTCTCCCCAGGGATGACAATGCAGGATAACTATGCAATCTCGCACCCGCACTCGCAATCTGGATCGCCAGTGCCGACTATTGCATCGACTTCCAGTGAGCACACCATGCATTCTAGCTTCGGACCGATGCATCCGCAGAATTGGATTGGGCCTAATTCTATTCCGTGGGATTCGTTGGGGGCTACGAATGGGGGTTATGGATTCGATTAGAGACGCGATATGACGGGATGATTTCTTGATGACCATTTGAATTTCAGGGTTCGGGGCTAGGGGCTAGGAACTAGGAGCTAGGAGCCAGGGTTTTGGCGTGGAGCATACAGGAATTGGTTAGCCTGGGAGACTTATTATCTATTTTCTTATAATGTTTGGTCATGAGTGATATGAGAAATGAAGAGAATGAAAACAAAAAGCGTGCCTTTTTAAATCAATTATATACCTCTATCTACAACAACAATAATTCTATTTATAATAACCCTATTATGAACCTAATGGGCCATATCTAGGGCATTTCCCCAAACCCAGGAGCACCCCACGACTTCCGCTGCATAACAGCAAAACCGACTGCATCCTTCCCATCAACTGGAGGATTACATATCATAAGCTCCATATCCATAACCTTCTCATAAAACGGCACCGACCGCTTCCAATCCCCAGTAAGCAGCAACGATCTCCGCAAATAAGGCATCGTTTCGATTACCTCCTGCACGCAGGTTACAAGCCATGTTCCCAGACCGAGGCCCTGGAGCGAGGACAGGACAAAGACATCTGTCAAGAAGAGGAATGTTGTGTAGTCCGTTACGCAGCGGGCGAAACCGACGAATTCGAGCGTGGACTTTGAGGTGTCGTTCTCTGGTGACTTGTCTGACTGGCTTGGATTGTGGTATAGCCCGAAGCAGAGGGAGTTCTGAATTGTTTCGCGCAATGCGGGCTCTGGCATTGGCTTTGCCCAGTAGAATTCTTCACCCGCGTACCAGGTGTTTAGGGTTTGGATGGGGATTAGGGATGTGTCGGTTGAGACCAAGTATTCTCCTTTCGTCCAGGTTTTGGGTTGGTTTCGTATTTCTGATGTTGGTGAGGACATTTTTGGAATTCTGGGGTAGATGTTAGTATGTTTATGGGGAGAGTATGAGGGGCTATTGGTGTTAGGGCTCACTATTTGGCCGGCTTTCTGGGTGCTCTTGATGTAATAATGAGAAAATGGAAAAACACCTCGGTAGATGCAAGCTATGAATATGCGAGGTTTCTATTGGAGGTGAAGAGTCAAAAGATTAAGATTTGATATCGTGGAGAGAGGGGTCTTTAAATACGGAGACGTAATATGGGGATGTTCCGTGACTCACAGATGAAGTTTGCAGATATACTCCTGCCAAGACCGGATTAATTGGTAATACGAGTATCTTTTCCAGATTCAACAGAGATTTGTACGTATATCTCAAGGTTAGTAGATTAACTTATCAAAGGCGCCTTCTAATGACACTGGGGGCCAAGAAGTGTGCAATATCGGAAAGATAAGTGGCTATCGGCCGAGCCCCACACATCTATGACCTCGGGACATGAACAGTGATTATATAGACGATATATACGATAGAAACTGTGAAAGATATGATATTTTGAATTGAATACATCAATCATAGCAACATGAAACCCCCTTATGCTTATTCGTAAAAAACCAGACATCTAACTTCAATGCTCTGTCTCCCCGGCGACCCAGCAGGAGTCTGCGGATCAAAGAAAGCAGTATGTCCCGACCCATGCGCAATATCCGTCTTCCCCTCAGTCATAGTATGACTCCTCGAATCAAAACACTTGATGAACATGACCTCCTCAGGCGTCATATCCTTAGCGTAAAAGAAACGATGTCCTTCATTAGGAGCGATAGCATAAGTCTCCCCCTTGACCTCATATCCCTCCGTAGAGAACATCGACTCAGAATCAGGCGCCACCTCTCCTTTCTCCTGCCACTCCTTCGGATAAAGAAGATCAACTTTAACAAAATCATCAGGAGCAATACTCCTCCAATCAATCAGCGCCAGCGGGAAATCAGAAGCCGGATTCTCAATCGGACGCCAGACATTGATAATCTGGTATCGACCCTTCAACAGCTCCTCTACTTCATCCTCGGGCAGGTGGCGACGCACTCTCGCCTCGGCAGCTCGGGGCGTTTGGTCCACATGCACCAGCTGCACAGGACTGCGCGCTGACCCCGGCGTCCGTCGCCGGATGGTGTGGTCGAAGATGGCTACTTTTTTCACCCCGGGTAGCTTCTTGCGGAGTAGCTCTTCTACTTCTGCGTAGTACCCCGCGCGCACTTTGGCGTCGTCGGTGAATGCCGTCTCTTTCGCCGGTGAGTTGTATAAGGCGAAGCCGGAATTGTCTGTTGTGTAATGAGACTCTTGGCCTCGCAGGTCCTCGACTTTGCGTTCCAATTCTGTGAGTTGGTAGGACCGGCCTGGTCCGTCGACTTTGCCCCAGGGCTTCTTGAATGGCTCTGTGGCGTTGGGGTCGTATGAAGCTCGATCGATGTATCTGAATGCTGCTGTCGTCATTTTGGTAATGGTTTGGTGTTATTGGATGATTTTTGCTTTCCTCGCGATAGCGGAGTGGGGGGCTGTTGAGCTCTTCAAATGAGAGGGGATGTGTTTTCACAGTACGAGGATGCTCTTATATGACGATTTAGAAACGAAAGACGATTTTTTAACCTATATATATACCTTATATATAGGTACAAAGTATGGGGAGATGTTCGATTGGAAATCCAGGCATGATTATTAATTGTTTTTGTGGCGCTAAATGTCGGAGACATTTGAAGATGGCATCATCGACAGTTGCCCCGATGTAGCCCTGGAGGAATAATTTGTGGGTTTTTAAATAATCAGCTTTGGATAGGGTTAGAAGGTAGAGCGTCTGGTTAAAAATGTATAGACATTATCATTATTATCACTTCAGGGTATTGGTAATTATGAAATTGCGTGCATAGTCAGCCAGAATCTGCCAGAATCTGCAGGCATCGACTGAATACATTATTAAGGCATTAACACGTGATATTCAGATCCACATTCTTCTTTTGGAAGTATATTGTCCCTGCTTGATGCTTCTCTTCATTTTGGATCAGCAGCTAGCGGGCAGAATCAACCTGTAGTCTGTAGTCTAGATTTTATATATCTGTTATATTAGATTACTGTAGCCCAATAAAATGCTTGACATTTTCACTCTGTGTTGTAGATATATAATGAGTGATTCTCGGTGGAAAAAGTATGACATAGGTCGGTTTTACCCCCGCATCTTTATGATTTTGTGTCCGTAACACTTGCATATGCTCCGAATACTACATCGGACTCTACAAAATAGCCAAATCTAGCTCACCACCTAAGGTTGTTGGTTGTTCTCAGGTTGATAGCCAATCACCGCCTTCGCTGCCCGCACGGCCGTCGGAGCGCATGAGACGCAACTCCAAGCGAGATCAAATACTTGACTTAAGAGGCATCAGGTCTTGGCCTTTAAAATGATCGACACTTTATCTTGAGCATTGTGGAAGTCACACTTTGTTCAGACAATGCTAGCGTGTGAAACCCCACGGCAGTTGTCTTGTTGTGGTCCGGGGAATTCCACACGGCACGAAGTGGACCGAATGGAATTGCTTGCAGGCCAACATACCAAACTTGGCCAGGCAACTCGTGACCCTGTTTTCTAGGATCATTCTTCGTGCGTTGGCACTTTTGCAGCCGGTGCGAATGCTTGGCGTGGTGGTAAGTGCCAATCCGCCGGCCTCAAAGGCGTGAAACACAACATTCTGTGCTGCTGGTACCTCTTTTACGTGATCGAGGTGCCTGCCGATTAATTCCAAACAGCAAATCACATGTGGAAATATGGGGACGATGCGACGATCGCCAATCGGGTGCATTTCATATTGGCGCTGTCCACCCCCGCCTCGTGAGAGTGTTAATTTATATGACCCCGCAGCTTGATCACTACTGCTTTTCATATCCATGCTTCTTTTTAGATAGAACGCCACCGAGCTGTAATTTTCAGAGCAACACGTGGAAGGGGATTTTGGAAATTGGATTGTTCTGAGGAATGCCAGGGATATTTGGTTAAATGCAACATATAAGACACCACAACACATCCTTTGATTCAAATCTCACAAAACCAAGCACTCTGCCCAGGCCTTGGACCAGACTGTCCTCTTGATTCATAATGAACCTCAGTGCCCTTCTTGGCCTGTTGACCTTTGCGGCGGCGGTCTCCGCTGATGCAAAGGCTCAGAAATCCCCTCATTCTTCGGATTCTATCGCCAATCTGAAGAGCAAGATCAAAAATGTTGTCATCCTGGAAATGGAAAACCGCTCTGTGGACAACCTACTCGGCGGGCAGACTCTCAAGGGACTGGAGAACCCTATCAATAACGGCCCTTTCTGCAACCCGTACAACTTGACCGATCCTTCAGCTGGCAATGTGTGCAGCTCTGCTAAGGACTTCGACTCTGTTCTGGATGATCCTGATCACTCGGTGACTGGAAACAATATCGAGTTCTATGGCACTTTCACCCCAAGCAATGTTCACATTGCCGAGGGCAAGCTCACTCCCACTCAGCATGGCTTTGTTCATGAGCAGCTGCGCAGCTATGGCGACGATGCCGATAAGGCTTATCTGGCCAAGCAGGTCATCAACTACTATATTGAGGATGAGGTGCCAGTGATGACTACATTGGTGCAGAACTATCTCACCTTTAACCACTGGCATTCGGACCACCCTGGCGTAAGTCCGAACAAATTTCCATGCTCTATAACCGCCGCGTATGAGCACGCCTTCTAACATGTAAAATAGCCCACAAATCCCAACCGGGCTTTTGTACTCTCAGGCACATCGGCTGGTCACGGCACCAACGATGATGCCTTCAACCCAGATGTCCACGCTCTCACTCAGCGTTCTATCTTCCAGCAGCTCTCAGAAACCAACCACACCTGGAAGAATTACTACACTAGCCCTAGCATGGTCGACGCCTATTTCTTCGACTGGACCTTCACAAGCGGCAACTCCGATAAAGCAGTCCCTCTGGATAACTTTTACGCTGATGCGGCAGCTGGTGCGCTCCCGGAATTCTCCTTCGTTGACCCGTCATGCTGCGGCGTGGGTACAAACTCCATGCACCCAACTGGTCTCGTCTCTGAAGGCGAAGCACTCATCAAGAATGTCTACGATGCACTCCGCTCTAGCCCACAGTGGGAAGAGACACTCTTGATCCTCACCTTCGATGAGACAGGGGGTTTCCATGACCACGTCCCACCTCCGCTGGCTACCCGCCCGGATGACCTGACGTACACCGAGATCGCGCCTTCCGGCGAGAAGTATACATTCTCCTTCGACCGTCTCGGTGGTCGTGTCCCTACTCTCTTGATCTCGCCATGGATTGCCAAGGGTCAGGTTGAGCAGAAGGGTATTAACTCGGATGGCGAGGTCGTATCTTACTCTGCTTCTTCAATCCTGCGCACTCTCGGGTATCTCTGGGACTTTGAGCCTTTCACGCCTCGTGTTGGATCCTCGCCTTCGTTTGAGCATCTCATTCAGGACACAGCACGCACTGATACCCCTGTCAAGTTGCCTGTACCTAAGGCATTTAGAAAGGCGGAGATTTAGAATAGCACTGTAGTGTTGCATCCTACGTTGGTCGTGTATAAAGGCCCTTCAACAGCATAACAAGGAGAGTTGCCATTATACCGCATGACAATGACAGCGCTAATTCTGTCCAATACAAACTTAATCGATATTTCGGCCTTGTGTATTATGGTTGCTGTACAATCGGCTTTTCTAAGTATCGGAAAGAAGGGCGCTTATGTAGCTTTGTGATAGCTACTACATGTTATCAATGTTCGCGTTAAGCCAAAATACAATAAACTCGGTAGGAAAATCTAATTGAATGGTCAAGATCGGAATGTACTACCGGGGTTCATTTCGATTTGTGGTCGAGGGATATCTTCATTGGGAAGCTGCACAGTAAGACTGCAGCAATATCACTGGCATTAAGATGGAAATCCGGTTATACATAGACACATTAGTCTTCTATACAGTTTATGCTTTTTGCTGCTTTCGTATATCCTCCCTTGTACCATTCTTAGGCATTTTGATTGGCTTATCAAAGCCCTATGTTGATACATAAGGGCAGAGGCTGCATACGCCCCCGACTACTATGTACTCCTGTGGAAATTGAAGAGAAACATCGCAGTAACGATTAACCTTGACTTTAACGCTGGCCACCGACACAACATATGCCATACGAGTCTAGGGTGTGACACAGTTCATATTAAGCACCAGACGTCATCTTGGTACTGCCTTTTGGACTGAGTGACCCTGTCGTCATCTGTGCCTCGGGGGGTTTGAAACATAGATCTAACAAGCGCTGTCTCGTGTTTAAATAGCCTGGGGTGAACCTCGACAGTATTGGTACTCTTTGGCTCGACATTTGCCAGCAAGGTTTTGATGTGATACTGGTTCTGTATCAGGAAACGCAATGCAAGTTGGCACTTGGGGGATCGAGCAATTTTAGTATTGCTCATTCTCTCTATTTTTTTTAGGCTTTTGTATACAACAAAGAGAGGCTCTGTTAAATTAATCCTTTTTTTCCTCTTTTATAACGTTATCAATATTTACTTCACCGCATCTTCATAAATCTTTTGTTCAAGACCGGGGCGAAGTAGTGGACTCAGCCTTAGTGCATAAGCCGAGAACGCCCCGCATGAGATTGACGTCATCCGCGGGGCTCCCACAAAGAAACTCAAAGACCAGGGCGCGTTGGATTCGACGCCTCTTATTGCCCCGGATGTGATACAACAATATCCGCAGGGTATCCGCAGGGGTGGTTTTTGTACTATGATGTCAACTTCAGGGCGGCTAGTGGAACAAATCTTCCTAAGATATCATTTTTAAAACGGCAACCTAAAATACAACATATGTAGATCAAGATCAATCTATTAATCAATAATAGAATATGTGAATTATAGCTAATCTATTCGTGCCCCTATCAGCTGAAACTGCAGGAAGCTGTTCTCATGACTGTTTGCATATAGCGCTAATCTATTCCTCTAGACTCTGATACACCTGTCAATGCAGCCCTAGAGCAGATGACATTTGGAATGCAGGTGCTGCATTGAAGTATTATGTTGTACAGAAGGTGTACTGTACATGTAATGTACGTATCAATATAAAAGTTAGGAACCATGGAATCCACCCGAGCCAGTCGATACAACCCATGGATTGATAACGGGAAGAACCAAACAACAGAGAGTAAACAAAATACTGTAATTCTATACAAACATTATTTGAATCTAAGCCACCATGTTTCGACCGTTTCGAGCGTTTCAGCGTTTCGACCGTTTCGCCACAGCCCCCGGGCAAAAAGAGTGTGTGCCAACCCTGAGGTTAAGAGAGAGAGAGAGCCTCACGTGGATGTCATTTATCTTTGCTTCTCTGCCTCTTTCATTTCCTTTCCATCCTCTCTTTCACATCTCTCATCTCCCCTCATCGCTAAATCTCCCGTTTGTCTTTCAACTCT